TACAAATATTTTTGGGTTTTAAAATCCGATATATCGGCCGATATTTTTTTTTTTTTTTTTATTAAATATTGTTGGATTTCACACACGTGTAAAAGAAAAGCTAACTTTTCTGCACAAGATACATTTGATTCTTTTTCTCTATGTCTAAATGTTCACTCCTCGCAGGTATAACTTACATTTTACAATGCAGGGACTGTAACTAGAGATATGCTAGTTATAAATACAGTAATCATTACTTTATTTAGGCAGAAAAAGTTCATTGTGGTTTCCAAGCTCATTAATGTTAATGTTAGCGGTCTTCCACTGATGATAGTGGCGTTAGCTATAGCTTTGTGGTTAGCTAGTCTATGATGAGCCATAATTTAGCAATAGATAACATGATACTGCAAATTGTAAAACATACATTTTTAATATAACAGGCCAAGGAGAGATGATTAAAGCGTGTTTCATCCGTTTTTATTTTATTTTTTAAACATTCATGTATCGGCCATTATAACCGCCGATACCGATATTATGGAAAATGCCTAATATCGGCCGATATATCGGTCTGGCTCTATTAATAACTCATACAAGTAATGCTCTATTTTTCTTTTGAGGACCATGTGAAATGCATTTGCCTTAAAGGAATAGTTCACCTAAAAATTAACGTTGTCATCATTTATTCACCCTTTTGCATCAAAAAAAATGTAGACCATATGACCACAGTATATATGACTTTTTATGAAGCCATGCAATGTCTTTATTTTGAACATGGCACGTCAGTACATTTTGCACCGAGGGTTTCATGTCAATCACAATTGGAACCAATAGCATTTCTGCCATAACGAAAGACATGAGGGTGAGTAAATTATGACAGGATTTAATTTTTGGGGGGGTGACTTGATTCTTTCATGCCTGACAAATGTGTACTGGGAAACAAAATCAGTGCAGACACAATTTTCACTCAGTAATCGCTAGTATTTAGTTTGTTTAAATGACAAAGATGGCAAGTAGCACATTAAATTAAGTGGAAAGACTGAAAAAGTATTTTCTTGCAAAATGTATTGCAATAATCTGTTTTATTTACAACTTTGCAAATAAAATTAAAAAATGACCGGTTACACGTTCTACTTTTAGAGTGAGATTTCCTGATGTTTTGAGTTGAACTGAAGCAGTCACAGTCCTACAGAGACCGAAGTCATCTGAACTCTGAAAAGTTGAACTCCCTCTGCTTCGTAAACAAACCTGACCGTCCGTGTCCTCTGCATGTCGTTAACCTGACTAAAAGACACAGGTAACATTTATTGACCTCTGGCTTGATCTCTGCTGACTCCTGGCAAACCCAATCTCCAGCGCTGCACCTGGGTCCAGTTGGGACTGGGCAACTGTCCATCATGCAGTATTCACATCCAGCCTGTGAAATATTCAACACAACACTGATAACAAGGAAACAGTAAGAGTTTACTGGCCCTGAAAACACCAGATTGTCTTTCGATTTACTGGTACCTTCAGTCCAGGCACTTTTACCTGGATCTGCTTATTATTTGATCTATTATTGTTATTTCAATAACTTATTATTTCAGGGGAGGATTAACCCTCAGGTGCTCTTCGGTCATTTCTGACTGAAAAATTTTCTGTTTTGAATTTCTAAAAATCACAGCTTCATCGGACTGTTATGAAACTTGGTGACTTTTATGCCATTGTGTATGTGAATACAAAAAAAAATTGAGGTCATGATCCGAGCATGCTAAGTGGTCGAAAAAAAAAAAATAGTCACACTTGTGGTCTTCGGTCAAAAATGACCGACCCATAGGAAATGAATGGGAAATTGACAAAAAAAAAAAATTCAAAAATGTTCAATATATTTTTTTTTTCTGAAGGCCTAGACTCTATATTAAACTAAAATATTGCATTAATAATTTTTTGAAAAAAATAATATACTGTATATATATAGAAAAATATATATATTTTTCCATGGCAAAAATAGACCATAAATATTGCATAAATAATAATAAATTCAATCAAATTGTCTCAAAATACTAAATAACATAGAATAAATATTTTAGAACAAAAATAAATTGCATTGGTTTTACTGGGATGGAGGAAATTTAATTTTTAGGTGTCCGGTCACTTTTGACCGGGAGGATAACAAGTGTGACTCCGAATCGAAGAGCACCTGAGGGTTAACACTGTTATTCCTCTTGATATTGATTTCAAACCCCTCAAAAAGTCAGCAGTTTTCCACTTATAAATATGGTCTTCCGTCATGTACAGCACATGCATATATTTTATTGTCTAGGAAGTGTGTGTGTTTCCCATTAGAGACCCTTTAGAGGCGGTGTTGTTGTTGATGCTATAAAGACACAGCTCATCTTAACTCCACACAACAACATTGGCTCAGACTAGAATAATTGTTTTTGCAATTCTGTCTGATGACTCTTCATATTTAAGATATTTTATACAGCGGCAGAGTAACACACAAGAGGTATTTACACTGAATTTACTGAACCATGTTGTTATGCATATGTTCTGCCAAACACAGTACAATCTGTCTCGCCACAAGGTCTAATTAAAAAGTTACGAACATTTTGACACTGACCTGCCCATTGTTGATTATCCACATGCTCTTTACTCTTTTTGCTCCATGTTAATTGCAAAACTAGATGTGAGCAGATGCTCATTATTTTTTCTCCTAGTGCATTATGCCTGGCAGATAAAGACATTTGCTTATTAACTTCAAGATTCATACACATCTACAGGAAACCGTGCTTAAAAATGTACCAAACTTTTGTGCTGAGGTGCCTGGAGAAATTGCCACGTTCCCATGAATAGGATCTCATGAAAAGAAAAGAAAATGTCCGATCTGCAGGTTACTTTTCAGATCCAATGCGATGTGTGGCCTTTCATTGAATTCTGCCACCGGACACCTACATGTTTCTAATCCAGCATAGACACCCCCACACAAACACACACAAAAACCCCACTCACTCTTACAGAAACACACACACACATGCCTTGCACTCCTACACACAGACAGCTTGATATATCATCTATAATCCCAGTTACACACTTCCGTATTCATGTACAGACACTACACACTTAAGGCTGGGTTATATCTCTCAATTTGACAGTTGTTGTAGGGGATAAAATTCGGAAAGCTAAAACAACACAAAAAGTAAATAAAGGAAAGTTGAGTCCAAAGACCTACAGGCCATTGAGAACTCAGTCCTTCTCAGTGCTTTTCGGGTTTGATGGAGACAGTAAATACAGCATACAAGACTAACTTTTCCAGTGGTTGAACTGGTGCTACCTACTTTCTCAGTTGGTCGCACCAGCATTTGATTTGGTTGCACTTTTCTTTTTCCTTTTTTTTGCTACATGCCATGGGATTAATCAATGCATGGGGTGGTGATGGCGACACATGCCTTTGGTGTGAGAGACCCGGGTTCGAATCCACTGTGAGACACCAATGTGTCCCTGAGCAAGACACTTAACCCCTAGTTGCTCCAGAGGCGTGCGACCTCTGACATATATAGCAATTGTAAGTCGCTTTGGATTAAAAGTGTCAGCTAAATGAATAAATGGAAATGCATGCTGATGAATAGTGGTTTTAATGGAGCAAAGCTAGCAAAGGCTTTCTGGGTTGCAGCATAAATACCTGTAATGTATTAAAGGGATAGTTCACTTTGAAATTAATTTTTGATATGTTTTATCTTACCTCAAGGGCATCCAAGATGTAGGGGTCTTTGTTTCCACAGTATTTTTAATTTTGATATTTTAAGGTCAAACCGGTGTTGTCTGTCAGTCATATAATGGAGGTCTATGGTCACCACCTCAAAGAGCATGCACAGAGAAGTCCAAATTAAACATGATTTAATGACTCGTAAATGTACGCGTTGATGGCCTAAGACACGAAACGAGCGGTTTGTGTGAGAAAACGAACAGTGTTTATATCGTTTTTACCTCTTGTTAACAGCTACGTGCACTGATCTGAATCAGATGTCCAACTGAGCCGAACTGAATCAGTTCAATGTTACGCCGGAAGTGATCTCTCGCGCGTCTACGTCACTCTTTGTTTATATAGATGCGTGACGTAGACGCGCGAGAGATCACTTCCGGCGTAACGTCTGCAGACGGTTCAGTTCGGTTCAGTTGGACATCTGATTCAGATCAGTTTGACGGCTGTTAACAAGAGGTAAAAACTATATAAACACTGTTCGTTTTCTCACACAAACCGCTCGTTTCGTGTCTTAGGCCATCAATGTGTACTTACATGTACGAGTCATTAAATCATGTTTAATTTGTCTTCTCTGTGCATGCTCTTTGAGGTGGTGACCATAGACCTCCATTATATGACTGACAACACCGGTTTGACCAAAAAATGTCAAAATTAAAAATGCTGTGGAAACAAAGACATCTTGGATGCCCTTGAGGTAAGATAAAACATACCAACAATTAATTTCAAAGTGAACTATCCCTTTAATTATCATTGCCAAGTTTCAGTATTTTCATGGGATTTTCTGTAATTTTAAGCATTTTACATTTGAATCATAATCTTCTGTGTCTATCTATCTATCTATCTATCTATCTATCTATCTATCTATCTATCTATCTCTCTATCTCTCTATCTATCTATCTATCTATCTATCTATTTATTATCATCTTTCTATCTTTTAAAAATCATTAAACATTCAAATGCATGCATTACATTTTGAAAGATTAGAGTATTATAATAAGCTAATACAGATTTTTCGTTGTCAAAGTTTATAGTTGTAACAAAAATCAGAAATCTCACCCTCCTTACCTTCTGCATTTTATAATAATTTCCTTTTCCTCAGTCGAGCGATTACTCTCATCCGATGTAGGAAAGGGCACGGAAGGAGCTTTTTTTCTTTTCGAGGTTGGGACGGCCAAAGCTGACAGTCTCATTTAGTACTCCAATGATCTGACGCTGACTTCTAGATTGAACAAAGTGATAAAGAAAGCAGGTTAAAACCTATTAATCATTTCCTTTTTTCCAGAAACTTGGGGAAGTCTGGCCTGAGAGTCTCGTGTCTTGGATTAGGTGAGTTTACGGCTTCTTGATCAAGGCCTATTATAAAGAAACCAAATACAAGTTTTGTAGTTTCTTCTTTTTTCAAACTACCAGATGCTATTAGTGGTAGACAACCATCCAGCCGGTGTGTTTCTGTTCACTTCAGCAGGGAATTAAAGATTATCCATGTTATCTGCAGCTTCATCTTAAGGCTTTACTCATCAGTGTCATTGGTGGATCACTGATAATCATTTAAACCTCGTTTATCTTGTGAAAAGCAGTGACTGATTCTAGATCTCTTTACAGGAACATGGGTGACGTTTGGAGGACAGATCACAGATGAGGTATGATGAGCCACGATGTGAACTTTTTTGTTCTTGTGAGACTTCACCCAAAAAATCCTGTCATCGAATTTTATGTATTTTATTTTCATTTATTTCATGGAACACAATGTCATTTTATATTGTTAATGAGCTATATTCCAAATATTTTGAAGTATGAATGAGGAACAGATTGAGTAAAAATCAGCTCTCGAATCTCATTTAATCTTGTGGTCATTCAAACATGGCACCTCAAGGCGCTTTGCACCAAGTTTGATGCCATTGATGTCAAAAATAATCTGTCTCATGACTGCAGCACAACACATTTGAATGTTTTTAAATAAATATGGATGAAAAATACACTGGTTTAGAACCAGAAATAATGATAGTTAGTAAAATGATGAAAATCTTTCTTTTTTTGGGTAAATTAAACCTTAATTACAATGTCTATGGATCCTTAAAATGCATGAAAACATCCTAAATTTACCTTTTTAAATTTAAGGCTGAAAAAAAAGAAAATGTGATTACATAATATCCCTCCCCGAACCACTGTTCGACTTATTGTTGTGTTCACAAAACTATTTGGTGGATTTATAAACATTTTTCATAGTGCTTTGATATTAAATATTTAATAATAGATTAATAATATAGGTTATATATATAATAATAGGTTATTTTTTTGTCTGCTAATGCACTATTTAGCATGCAGTAGTGTTTTATCTACTTATAGATATCTAATATCTACTAGTTATTTACTTACAGACTGGCACAATGCAGAATACAGCTTTTAATAACTGAATCGACTGCAACACCTTGAATACTGTATTCCTCTCTCTTCAATCCGTCTGGCAGATGGCAGAGCAGCTGATGACTCTGGCGTATGAGAACGGGATCAATCTGTTCGACACGGCAGAGGTCTACGCTGCTGGAAAGTGAGTACGCCAAAATGAACACAGCTCACCCCATCAAATTAGTATTTGTAGACTGTAGTTTTGCCATGTGCTGAAATATGTTCTTTTTGGTTATCTTGTGTAGTTATTGAAGGTCAGTCTCATGTTAACCTCGAGTACATATAGAGCCCTATCTTGCACCCAGCACAATTGACTTTGCACACTCGTATTTTGCACCCGTGCAAAGCGGACTTTTCCCTCCACAGACACACGCCGTAAACTAGGGAATGAAATTGCGCTCCAAAAGGAGGCGTGTCCCGGCGCAAACAATCCCTGGTGCTATTTTACAGTTCCAGAAAATAATTGTGCCACTGACCAGAAAACACCTGGTCTAAACTCAGTGGCGCGGTGCGTGTACATTCAGATAAACCTGAACTTGAACTCGCTTCTTTATTTTTTTTTACTTTGGCCTTTTTTTGCATGAGAATCCAACACTTTGACAGTGTAAATAAGTCAGAATGCATGAGATAGCATTATACGTCCCCTTTAAAGGGTAGCTAAACCCCTGTCAGAGCTTGACTCCACCCACTGGCAATATTTGAAAATGTTGAAAAAGTGGGCGGACCCCAGCGGAGATCGAGGGGACGAAATAGATGCTAAAACACTCTATCCTGATCGTTTTCAATACTCACAATTCCAACTCCTGACTCCCTACAGTGGTTTGGACGACACAAGATGGTTTTTATACTGCTCGCGTGGTGAGCTGAAACCTGCGTACGTCACGAAGTGCGGAACATCCAATAGGAAAATTCAACTGCAGTAGCCACCGTTCAACCTGAAGAGGGCAGCACTAAGACTTTTTTTCACCACATACGCCTTATTCACGGCAGCGCCATCTTTGATTTTTAATGAGAATGAAAGCGAGGCTGTGAGGGATAGACTTGCATCTCTTCAATGGGCTGTACTGTTATTTAATGTGTTTTCGGATTGTTCTGCTTATGAAATACTGGAAAAATATCTTTCAAAGAAATGTCAGTTGACAAAAAACTCCCGACAATGTAAGCTGTGGAAAATTGTAAGTAATCTAGCCGCTTTATTCAGCTTTTTACAGCGGATGCCATTGGAAACACGGTAAGTCTATCCCTCACAGCCTCACTTTCATACCTGTCATGGCGCTGCTCTGAATAAGGTCTATATTGTAGAAATAAACACTATAAACAAATGTCAAAAAAGTTATTCGAATCAATGATCCATTCTTGCAGATCATTAACTAAAAAAAGTTGGTTTAGTGTTTAGTTACTCATTTAGTAATGTAGTATTTGAAGAAGGTTACATAATGTTTGCAGACCACCTTTAAGCAATTTTTATTTCAAATATAATGGTAGTGTTTTCTCATATACTCACAGCATTGTGGTGCTGGTGCTGCTCTTTAGAAAATGTCAAAGCTAGTTGTCAGTTTTATAATTTCATTTGATTCTTTTAGCATGAACTCTCAAGTTTTCTTTAAAACTGGGGGTCATTTCAAAAGGGGAATGAACATTCAAATGGCAGCTGACTCAGGGCATCATTGGAAATGGTGTTCCTCGTCTGTGTCTTGCGTGGGAGTTTGTGTTGAACTTGTCATAAAGACTTAGTGCAAAGCCACCAGATCAGGGAAGGTCTCTGTGCATTTATTTTTATGCTTTCAGACTTGATTATTACTTCTAGTTGGATCTTGAAATGATAGCATCTCTTAATGTTTCAAACAAGTGAGATCTATCATCATCGCAGCATGTCCAGTCTGAAAATACCACTTGATGGCCATACACACACACACAGAGATGATGCGAATTCTCCGCCCCCTCGTCAATATCAGGACCTCGTCAGTATTTCTTTCACTCTTTTATTGATGGACAGTGTTGCATTGTGTGAGAGAATGTTAGCGTGAAATTGAACACAGTATATGCCAACGTTGTTTTCAATAAAAAACACAAAGCAAAGCAAAGCAAGCCGATCCACTTTTACATGTTGATAAGAGCATTAAAATGAAAAAAAATAATGGGACAAAAAGAAATCAAGAGACATTTAGAATAGATACCAATCTGCGATTAATCATGAGTTAACCCTGACATCAATGCGATTAATCGCGATTAAATATTTTAATCGTTTGACAGCACTAATATATGTATATTGTCCTAAATATTGTTTTTCAAAGTTTTCGCTCAATCAGCATTTCAACCGTGGAAAGACGTCAGTTAAACAGCTTGTAATCAATGTCATCGTCATATTTACCTCAGAAAACCCACATAAACAAAAATACAAAAAATAACTCTAGAGAGGAGCGTTTTGCTAAATATATACACCATATTACATATGCATTATAATCTTAATGTTCTTCAATATTTAATGCATATTTGAATAAATCTGGCAAGTTTTTATGACAGCCACCATTTAAATGTTCATATTTCATATAATCTTCTTATTATAAAAATAAATAAAAGTGTAATTTAAGTGTTCATTATTACCTTCATATTAGGCTAATGAAGCCCAACTAGACTCCTAGTTTACAGCATTAGTTGAGAGATTTGATTCCCTTGAGAAAATTTGCCATTTATTGTAACTGATATCCAAAATAATCAATATTGAATCGAATCGGAATCGAAATCGAATCGAATTGCAAGCTTGTGAATCAAAATTGAATCAAATTGTGAAATTTGTGTCAATACCCAACCCTAGTAGTTTTCGTCTTAATTTTGGACCCTGCTCCTGAGATACAGTTTATTTCCAATTTGAGAGATTTATATTCTGACAGTAACGTGCGTGTAAATCAATGGGTTAATTTCAGCTGTGAATCCATTTTAAAACACACTTTTTCCTTCCTCTATACAAGGAAAGTTTCCCGACACATGATGTTTCATAAATAAACTGTGCAAATTAGGTGAGGATAGCGGTTGGTAATGTGCACTGTCATTAGCTCAATGCTAGGCGTGGGCATCACTGATGGGGTGAGATGAGTGGGAAGGTCTGCTTTATTTATCCGTTTGGAATAAACACGGCTCTGGCAGCATCTGCGGTCAAACACCCCGGCTTAAAGACATCTCATCTCTTACACACATGTGTGGTGGTATCTGCCCTGGCATGTACACACATCAGCTTCTGTCACCTCTCTCTCTGTCTTTCTCTCCCTCGCACATAAGCAAACAAAAACACAGGCTGAGTCGCCCCCTCACGCATCTGTGTTCGACATGCTAACACAAGAACACTAGCATTCATATTCAGATGTCCTCCTGAAGATGAGCAGCTCACATTCACAGCTTTGAAGTTGTGGACTTGTTTTCAGAAAGTGCGGTGTAGCGGTGGGCCGTACATTCATGTGGATTAATGAAGCGCTCTTTTCAGCTAATGACCACTAAATCAAAGCACCACAGCGTTCTGTTTTCATGAAACACTGAATCAATGCTCATCCATCTTTTTGATGGATTGGCTACACAACTCTGGAATGCTTGATTCTGAATGGTCAGTCACAGCTCATCTGTGGTCAGATATTTTTTATAATATTGCCTAATTTCTTTATTTATATGCACACAGCCATGCATATACAGTATAAGATGGATTATTTAAAGCAGGTTTGCTTTATGTTGGTTGTGCTTGGGTTTATTTTATGATAATGACCACTTTTATTAGAGCCCGACCGATAAAGGATTTTGAAGGCCGATACTGATACAAATATTTGTTGGTTTTAAAAAATGTTATTTTTATTTTAGAAACAGATTTCCCGAACATTAGTTATTTATTTGTGAGTTTCAACTAAAATAATATGATAATGCATTTTAAAAAGAAACTTGTTTCTATTGTCACAACATCAAAATATATTAAAGTTCTGATAAATAAAATAATAATTAGTCCCTACATTGCCTTATGGTTATAAGCTACCTTATAATTACAATGTCAGCTTGCTTATCCCTTTACCTGCACTTTTTGACAACACTCATGATGGTTGATGCCTGATTCGTCCATTTTTATTTTATTTTTGAAATATTCATTTATCGACCATTATAACTGCCGATACCGATATTTTAGAAAATGCCTAATATCGGCCGATAATATCTGCCTGCCGATATATCGGTCTGACTCTATATTTCATTTAGAGATTTACCTTTAGAGCTGTTTTTCCATAACAAAATAAATTGCAATGTGGTTAACCTGATGACTATTGTATTTTAAATACTGTTATGGTATTTATTCATAGTTTGAATTAGCTTTTATTTTTATATATTTCACTTTAGTTTTTAGTTTGTTTTAGTCATTTTTTGTGTTTTTTAATCATTTTTCTTTAAATCATTTCTATATAATCTATTTCAGTTTTAGTGATTTTAGTACTTCAACTTATTTTATTTCAATTAGTTGCCAGGTTAAAGGTGCTGTATGTAACTTTTTCACTCTACTAAAGCATAAACATATCATAATATGTTTGAATATATTGAGAAAACATGCCAAGTTCACATAATCATTTCTCTGAAAAACACTTCTACTGCCAGTTATTTCACTTTGAAATGTGTGTTTTCATGCTGGAATGTTTGCTATTGTTTTGGTCTGTGATATTGCACGTTGCCAATTTTCATTGTCCATTGTGCTCGTTCCTGTTGCGTATACTCAAACTGGCAACCCGTGTGAGCGGTGTCCAGTCTGAGGAGCAGGTGGCGGGAGAAACGAAGATCTCCGATATTTTGAAGTGACTGCAGTACCTATTTCGACCACTAGTTGTCATTCTTACATACTGCACCTTTAACAATTGTAATTTTGGTTAAAATTGTTTTAGATATTTTTTTTGTTTTAGTTATTTTACGTCAAATTTATTTCAATGAATGAAAACATTTTCCCCAACTTCATTGTTAAAGTGTTAATAATTAGGGGATATATATTGTAACATTAGTTGTTTTGGAGCGTGACAGCATCTTGCTTCATTCACTTTCACTATATGGCAAAGAGAAGCACTAAAGTGGTCTTTTAAAAATATCCCTGCCCATAACATCCAACATTTGAAAGGAAAAACAAGATTCCAGAAGGATTTTAAGAGAGATTAATAGTAAAGCAGTGGGATTTGTGGCGTCTTGGAGCGTTGACCGTATTACAGTACTACGGTTCATTGACTTCATTGACTGAGATCTCACTCACCGGGAAAAATCACAACCCGATCTGTATCCTCATTGGGCTCAATTAGCACCCTCAGCACCACTAATGGCTGCCAGAGAGCCTTTTAGTCTCCAGGCTGTTACTGACACTTCTCCCTGTCTGCAAATATAAAGTAGACACACTTCTCAGGGAGTTAAAGATGCTCTTAGCACTCAGGTGTGTGTTAATTACTCACTCACATGCCTTATCGCCTAATGTCTGCACTCTCTCCAACTGTAACTGGAGATGCTAGCCTTGACTAGCCTCGGCTTCAACCAATGCATGCGTTACAAAGCAACCAAAAGTCATTGAGCAGAAATTGTGTAAAGCTATAGCCACACCGAAACTCTTGTCATTATTTTTGTGTGTGTGTGTGTGTGTGTGTGATAAGGATCAGACAGTCCATGAATAATCCATGATTGTGCTGTCTGAGGTTCACAGCATCGTTCTCAACAATGTGCCAGTCCACACTCATGCAGATTGATGCATGACATGACAATCAAAGCCAGAGGGAACATTATGGATATTTAATATACAGCTGTTTGCATCAGGGATCTATAGATTGATTGATAGATAAATAAACTCTAGAGTGTAGCATTAGATTTACATGTGCTCTACCTGATATATATATCAAAATGAATCAATATTGAATTGAATCGAGATCCGAATTACACCTACTCGCAAGAATCATGAAATGTGTGTCTGGTTTATGGCAAGGAACCACACCGAATATGAAAATAAGCATTTGCATTGGCATTGAAGTGTGCTTTTTAATTTACATGAATTGTATTATATTGCTGTGGTGATTTACAGCCTTTCAGTGGCCCGTCCTGTTGGCTGTAGATGTCAGTATGATGACGGATTAGTCCGATAACCATCTGGGTTTCTGTTGCAGGGCGGAGATGGTGCTCGGCAACATCATAAAGAAGAAAGGATGGAGGTATGTTCATTAACAGCATACAGCTTTTCATTTCCTTCGGCCGTCTCTTATCTTGTGCTGATAACTCGGCCCAGTGCCTCCGAGATTGTGCCACCGCAACCCAAGACGGGCAAAAGCATAAATTATTAAAGCCCTGGTGCTATGTCCCATCAGGATATTGAATTATACAGCGGTCGTGTGTGTGTGTGTGTGTGTTTGTTGTGCAGTTGATGTCCTGATGTATGTTTGTGTAACGCAAGCTAAAGGACGTCCATGGCTAATAGAAGCCCTTATTAAGATGTTTTAATTTAAAGCAGGGTGGGCTCTCACTGTTTCTGCATAATGAGATGAAGCGTAACTGAGCTCTCTGCTGGAAAGAGTGTGTGTGTGTGTGTGTGTGTGTGTGTTTGGCATGGTTGTGATGCTTAGTCATCCTGCTAGTCAGTGTGCATCAATATCAGGACCCACAACCCCTCACATTGTGTGTGTGTGTGTGTGTGTGTGTGTGTGTGTGTGTGTGGGGGCCTTCTTAGTTATAGTTTGTGAGTGGAAGTGAGATAAATCTGCTAGACCTATATATATATATATATATATATATATACACTGTAAAAAAAATATTTTCAAGATTTGTTATCACAGCATTTTTTTCTTTTGTCAAATCAACTTAAATAATTTATTTAGTTCAGATAACTTATTATTTTTAGTTTCTGATGAATAAATCATTCTACTTCATTGTATTAACTCACTTTTTCCAGTTCAATCAACTTAAATTTTTAAGGCAACCAGGTTACTTAATTTTTTAAGTTAAACCAACAATATTTTTTTACGGTATATATATATATATATATATATACATTCCATATACAAATGCAGCTTTACATACAACCAGTAGATGTCTGTTGCATGTCCTTATTTAGGCAGCCAAGTAAGTGTGTGCGTGTGTGTGTGTGTGTGTGTGTGTGTGTGTGTGTGTGTGTGTGTGTGTGTGTGTGTGTGTGTGTGTGTGTGTGTGCATGTACACTGTAAAAAAATATTGATGGTTTAACTTAAAAAAGTAAGTAACCTGGTTGCCTTAAAAATTTAAGTTGATTGAACTGGAAAAAGTGACTTAATGCAATGAAGGAGATTAATTTAATCATCAGAAACTCAAAATTATATGTTATCTGAACTAAATAAATTATTTAAGTTGATTTGACAAAAGAAAATATGTTGTGATAACAAATCTTGAAAATATTTTTTTACAGTGTGTTTGTGTGTGTACATGCATCCCTTTGAAATAAAAATTGTTACCCCTAGCTGTTACACAGTTGTAATTAATTGCAAATTGTTAGTTGCAAATAGTGTGACCTAATTTAAAATAATTGTCCTTTTCTTTTTTGCAGACGCTCCAGTTTAGTCATTACAACCAAAATATTCTGGGGTGGAAAGTATGTATATTTATGATTTATTATAAAATGAATAATGGTATGATATAGAGCTGCATGATTCTGGTTAAACTAAGAATCGAGATTTTTTTTTTTATTTCAAACAGAGATCACAACAAACAACTAAACAAAATGTAATCTACCATTGGTTCGGACAAAATGTCAATTCAATTGCTGCAGTCTATTTAAAAATGTTAAATAAATGTGAATACATTTTTTAAAGAAAATGATTGATTCAATAAAGACTTGTTTCATTACTGGATGAATCAGCATGTTTGAACAAATCTCTTGGCTGAGTTATTCAATGATAAATCATTTTTTTATCAGTAACTTGTTGCCACCTAGTGGTGGAAGTGAGTTACTTTCAGGAGGTGATTTGCTCTATTATGATCACTTGTGTTTATATCATTTGTAACAGAAATAATGATACTGTGTGACCATTTGTTTCCAAACATGATAACTGCTTTCTCTGTGGTAACGGCAACACAGATTTTAGCGTTAGACACACACAGGCGAATAGTTATTTAGGAATGAAATTGTTGGGTTTTTAATCGAGATTGTGATCTTTTAATAATCAATCGTGCAGCTCTAGTATTATACAAATTTGAAACGTTCAGGAAGTATAATTTTCACTTATTGAATGGGTAATGTACCTCTATTAGTGTCAGTAAGCAAGTGTTATATTTTGCATTGAGTAAAATATCATGTCCTCAGTTCTAATATCAAACCAAGGAATGTCTTTTTAATGTAATTTACTAAAGATGGCCTCAATGATAATTGCATGACAGAACATGTCCTGTGGTTTTCTAGAGCAGAGACAGAGAGAGGACTGTCGAGGAAACACATTATAGAAGGTGAGTAGACCACAAATCATATGCATTAGCAGGAGTTGGCAGAACTGGTTTAATTTTGTGCTGGATTGATTCGAGTTACTCTTCTGTAGGTTTAAAGGCATCATTGGAGAGATTGCAGTTAGAATATGTGGATGTGGTGTTTGCAAACAGACCCGACCCCAACACACCCATGGAAGGTACATCTCAATCTCAATTCATTTGTTCTACTGTAACTCATCCGTTCTGTGTGTTCTTCAAAGCATGTGTCTTTTTGAGGAGAGGTGATTACACTATTACAAAATAAAGGTTTTTTCAATCCATGAAACTAGGGCTATCAAACGATTAATCGCGATTAATCACATCCAAAATAAAAGTTTGTTTGCATAATATATGTGTGTGCACTGTGTATAATTTATATATATATATATATAAATACACAATAACAAACAGACTTTCTACCAATTTTAAAACTAGATTTGACCAAGTGGTCTACACTAGATGCCGTATGGGTCATACAAGTTTGACCCATGCTTTTTTGCTTAAAGGTGAAGACCCAACTTTATGTATGTTTTGTAAAATTGCCTTATCTGTCAAACATTTTTTATTAGATTTTCCTGGACATAACGCAAGCAGAAGGCTCTTTTATGAAGTTACTTCTTTGAAGGACATATTTAATGAGATTATGCCTGAAAAGATTCTGGATTTTTTTTTTATCATATGTTAATTTAAAAAAAATATATTGTATAATATGACTTCTTGTTTATATTTGTTTTGTTTTTGTTGTATTTATATGATATTTATATTTTTGTAAATAAATTTGTGGCCATGAAAATAGCTCTGACTGCTGACATGGCATGAAATAAAATAATCTGAATCTATAAAAAAAAATTCACACACACATGCATGTATATATTTAAGAAAAAAATATTATTTATATATAAAATATTTATATTTACACATCATATAAATTATATAAAAATCTATATACATTATATACATGAAAATATTTCTTATATATATATACAAGCATGTGTGTGTATTTATATATATAGTCAAACTATAAAATATATGGTTTCATAAAATATAAAAAAATATATGGAACTCATATATATGGAAAATATATGGAAATCATAAAATATATAAAAAATATTATTTATATATAAAATATTTATATTTACACATCATATAAATTGTATAAAAATCTATATACATTATATTCATGAAAATATTTCTTTTATATATACAAGCATGTGTGTGTGTTTATATATATATATATATATATATATATATATATATATATATAATTATACAGTGCACCCACATATATTATGCAAACACAAACTTTTATTTTGGATGCGATTAATCGTTTGACAGCCCTTTTCATTCCACTAACGTTCTTTTTAAGAAGTGTTCAATTAAAGGATCTTTTGGTTTGCAAACCCCTTTGCAACCTTTATTTTTAATTGTATACACAAGTTTATTCAAAATGAGATGCTACTTTGTGGTGCTCACTTTTAAAATGCAAGCGAGGCAATCTTTTCGATTTGTAAGTCGCCAAACTAAATTAAATCTCAACCAATGTTTTTAGGTGAAGGTGAAGGGGTGGCTGCTCTTTTAAAAACCAAGACAAAGATGTAATCGGATCTTCTTTTATTAGCCTAGTTGCCCTTTAGAAAGTTCACAGTTCAATGGTTGAAACACAAACAGCTCGGGGGTCTGCAGACATCTGCTGTTCTTGTCATGAAAGAGCTCGGCAGTTTCTTTCTCTCGCTTTTAGACAGATCTCATTTAGTCAAGCGAGAGTCTAGCTCATAAGACTGATGTTTGACCATCGCTGGCGTGGGTTATTAGGCACCTAGCCCTCATTTGAAGCTGTGTTCTTTGAGCGGAGATTCATATTGACCTGAAGCACGAGTTGTTTATTTTGTCTCACATATATTGATTAAATTCCCCAGGCTCAAGAAGCCATTTATCATTTTAACTCCCCAACCTTGCATTAATCGAGCATCTTTTCTTTTTCTGGTTAATATTTCACACGTGCATCCAAAGTGACGCATTCTAATGGCACCGTGACATGATGTATTGTGCGGTAAATCTCTGAAAATCTGCCGTCTGATTGGCAGAAACGGTGCGGGCGATGACGCATGTGATCAATCAGGGAATGGCGATGTACTGGGGCACGTCACGCTGGAGTCCGATGGAAATCATGGTGAGTCACAGTCTCTTAACTTTTAGATGCTCACACCCCTGTAATCAGCATCACCACTGACTGCTTTTGTTCCCGAAGAGCTCCTTAAACGCTTGTTTAATCTAATGATGCCAGTGAGGAAGTCTAAACTTACACACAGGGTGTATCGGAGACCTAAAACAGCACCACAACTGGTCAGACTAACAGTTTCACAGTGACGGTGTTAAACGACGCTCTGTTCATGTTCAGTCAACTCAGTCAAATCAGTCAAGTTATACTTACTGGTTTTCAGAGATGAAGTGCTCTATCAAAAAAGTGACTTGAGTAGAAGTTGAAGTGCTCTTTAAGCACCGCACTTAAGTAGAAGTACTAAAGTATTCAACATTTTTTGTGCTCAAGTATTGCAAGTAGTTTATTTTCAAATTCACTACTTAAGTACTAAAAGTAAAAGTACAAGTATTGTGTCATGCAATTATTAAAGAAAGCAGTCAAAAGTTTGAGCTAGCAATCAAATAAGGCGCATTGCAGGACAACCCCTGCATTAGTCGTCAATGTGTGTGTCAATCAATACCATTACCCTATAAAACTGGCGTGTGATTTAGGCAGCATGAAAGACAACTTGCAACGAATGATTCGTAAAATGTTTATAATTGTAACGAGTAACTAGCAGAACATTAAAAAAATATCGAAGTAAAAGTATTAAATTAATCGAAAATATCTACTGAAGTAAAAGTAGAAGTATGAGAAAAAACAATACTCTAGTAGAGTACAGATACAGCATTTAAGTAGTTCTACTTCGTTACTATACATCTCTGCTGGTTTTCTGTCCCTTCACACTCATAATTGTTCCTTACCATTAACCAGTGTTATCTTATATACTATAGTTTTTGTTACTTTAAAAATTATATTTTGTGAGGGTTAGTTTTTTTATATTTTATTATTTAAAAAAATTATTATTTATGTACATTTCCTCAAAGAGAATGCTAATAGTGATTATAAGTAAAGACAAATGGAGAGAATATAGTTATAAAGTGCCACTGTGAAAGTAGACCAAGAGATGTGAGTGAGGTGTCACTTTAAAAATGCCATTTGCTACTGTATCTTACAGATCAACGGCATTAAAGGAGTACACGTTTAAAAAACTTTTGCTGATAATTTACTCGCCCCCATGTCATCCAAGATGTCCATGTCTTTCTTTCTTCAGTCGAAAAGAAATGAAGGTTTTTGATGAAAACATTCCAGGATTTTCTCCATATAATGGACTTCAATGGGAACCAAATGGTTCAAGGTCCAAATGAGAGTTTCAGTGAAGCTTCAAAGGGCTTTAAACGACACCAGACGATGAATAAGGGTCTTATCAAGCAAAACGATCGCTCATTTAAAAAAATAACAAAAAAGTTTAAGTTTTATAAGCACAAATGCTCACCTTGCTTTTTTCTGTGATGCGCGTTTGTGACTCGACCTCGTTCATCAAAATGAATGAATCTTTTTTCATGTCAGTTGATTCATTCAACGAACTTAAACTTTGTTATTTATTTATTAAATGAGCGATCGTTTTGCTAGATAAGACCCTTATTCATCGTCTGGAATCGTTTAAAGCCGTGCAGTTTGCACTGAAACTCTCATTTGGACCTTGAACCGTTTGGACCCCATTGAAGTCCATTATATGGAGAATAATCCTGGAACCTTAATTTCTTTTCGACTGAGGAAAGAAAGAAAGACATGGACATCTTGAATGACATGGGGGTGAGTAAATTATCAGCAAAAGTGTTCTTTAAAGTGAACTACTCCTTTAATTTGCACTGCATTCATGCTTTCAGAACACTAACGTTATCTTTTGACGTGTTTTGTAGGAAGCGTATTCTGTGGCCCGGCAGTTTAACCAGATTCCACCAATCTGCGAACAGTCAGAGTATCACATGTTCCAGAGGGAGAAAGTGGAGGTGCAGCTTCCCGAACTCTTCCATAAGATCGGTCAGTGTCTGTCGAGCCCAGAGAAACAGAGCGTACAGACAACAGTTTCGTACAAACGTCCAGACGTACCGTTTCAAATGGTTTCCACCTGTCTTCTCAGGTGTGGGTGCGATGACATGGTCTCCGCTGGCCTGTGGGATCATCTCAGGGAAATACGACAGCGGGGTGCCAGCATACTCGCGTGCCTCACTGAAGGTACTACATATCCCATGAGTCTCTCTGTGTCCTCTGGAAACATCAGTGACCTCATATGTGATTCCTTTGTGTTTGGTGTTCTAATGTGGATGTGTTCCGTGTGTTCCAGGTTCTGTAGTTGGGTGTTTTCCTGTAGATGTGTTTGTAGTTGATGGCATGAATCCACACGCCTGATCTTCAACATTTCTTTCTTTATGTGATTGAGTTTCTATGGCAACTCTGAGGAGGATTGGCACTTGTTTTATCTGTGTATCCATCTCTTTCAAGCACACTAAACCACACACACACACACACAAGTGCACATTAAAATCCCCCGTTGGCGTATAGTCGCATGTTTTTGTGACCCATCATCTTCCTCTTGTAGTCTTGTGTCACACTGTGAAACATTGCTGATTTCGTTCATGTGGATTGACACTTGACTATGACAGAACCGTGCTGGTGGTCTGAACAGTGATGGGTCCGTTTGACTCGGAGACCCATGAGTGTTTAGATCACTAGACCACACTGGTCCTTTTCCACTGTTAATGAATATTTACTAATGATGGACCTGAACCTGGATTATTTATCCTGGTCTAGCACACGCACAAACATTTGCTCTTTGCTATTTGGTTCTCTAATTAGTTTGTACTTTAAAGTCAACATGAAGTCAAAATGTACTCATTTCAGACATTTAATCGTAATTCAGACTCAACTTCATCATTTTTTATGATCAATAACTTGCTTTGCCTCTTTGACATTCCTTTATGACTGACGTGACCCAGTCCAGGCAGACTATTTGTTATGAATTTGGCTAACCAACTAGCTTTAGTATATTTCAGTGTCATTTTAGAATTATTTATATACACTCTTAGAAGAAAAGGTTCTATATAGAACCATTAAAGGTTCTATCAGCGCTACATATTTGGAACCCCTAAAAGGTTCTATACACTCTTATAAAAGGGGAACCATGAACCCTGGGGTTCCATACTAGGCCAATAGAACCTTTTACCAAAAAAAATGGTTCTATATAGAACCATTTTGGAGTTCTGGTTCTAAATAGACCCATTTCTTCCAAGAGTGATAATATTTTAGTATTTATGCTGTACGATCTGTAGATTTTTATTTTATTTTGAATTAGCTTTAATTTTTATATTTTTTGTTTTTATTGTATTTTTTTTTAGTTTTTTATGTTCTTTTATGTTTAAAAAAATAGTACTTCAACTCTTGATACGTTTTTACATTTTATTTTATTTCAGCTTTATTTCAATTTTTTAATTTATTTCTTTATTTTTTAATAGTTTTAGTTACAATAACAACACTGCTCTGTTTTATTGTATTTAGTCTTTATCTAGTAATTTATTGCATGCTAATTCAATAAAGATAGCAAATTATGATTAAAATAATTGCGATACATATGCTTAGTATTTATATAAAATCACCGATTTCATTTGGAAAAATGCCACATTAGTTGCAAATGTTTCATGTTGGCTTTAAATTTATAGAAATGTGCTTTATATATATTATTTATACTACATTTTACTGCCAAAAAAAAAAATGTAATGTTTGTGCGTGTGTGTAAGATCTCTTTACCCCCTAAAGTTCTCCGAGCGAGTTCATCTCTGCTCGTTTGAGCTTTCGGGTGGACAGAGTCACGTGTTTAAAAACAGGCCCTCGCCCACACAGGTGCTGTCGCTACGTGTCCGAGAGCGCGTGTGTGTGTTTCTGTGTTGTGTGTGTGTGTGTGTCAGTGCACCGCTGTAGGCGTGGGCCCCTGTTTTTGAGCAGGTGTGCTGTGTTGTTAACAGGGCTACCAGTGGTTGAAGGACAAGATCTTGAGCGAGGAGGGCCGACGCCAGCAGGCGAAGCTGAAAGAGCTGCAGGCAATCGCTGAGCGGCTGGGCTGCACGCTGCCACAGCTAGCCATCGGTACGCCTAACCCAAAGACACACTGCCGCTCTCTCTCTTTCTGTCTGTCTGTCCGTCCGTCCTGTACCTCGCTCATCCTCTCCCCCTCTCATCCTCCCCCTTCCTCAGACCACCGGAGCGGACGAGCAGGAACAAATGCCATTCGTTTGTGGCTTTTAGGGAACTGTTAGCGCTCTTGCTTAAATGTAGTGACGCATTTAATAGTTTCGCATAGCGTTTTATGATGTTCAGTGTGGTATCAGAGATGGAAAGTGTTGTGTAATGCTTTAACGTTTCAAAGAAATATCTGCCGTGCGATCTAGAACGAAGGGGTATGGCGGTTTGATTTAAGTACAGTAATCTAATCTTCATAATAGACCAGTTAAAGGCAAAACTATCAGATTCAACCAAAATGTGTGAGCTGTTAATAGGGTGGGCGGTAGGACCGAAGTCTTATAGACCTCTTTTTCAGTTGGTAAACACGGTGACGTTTTTATGTGGGCGGAGCTTAGGTGGAGGCAGAACGATCCCTCTGGCCGCTTCACTTTAGCAAGTTTTATTAGCTTGTTTCTTTAACAATGACTGGAGAAAATCAGATTTTATCTTAATGTGTAAGGTCACTCAGTGTCCAGGACCGCGATTGTTATTTTCAAAAGTTATTTTTAACGGACAGAGCCAGATTGGCCGACCCGTAGCCGCCTACACGCTCAATCAATGCATGGACGATCTGACAGGATTAACGTACGTTACCTCGGTTGAGTGGCCTGACTTCTACACCTACCTTATGGATAAACCGATCGTAAAGAGAAACTGAGGGCATATAAATCTTTAGATGCCTATATGGTCCTGTACAAGACTTGTGTGTACGATCCGCAGTTCTGCCGAGCCAGCGCAGAGAAAACGACAATACGGTGTGATTTTAATGATGTGACAATTTTCTAGAAATAAAAATTCCAGTTACAGCATATTAATTTTTCATTCATACTTGCACCAAACAACACAATAAGATGACATTTAATAATAATAAAAGTAATTTAAGCTCCTTATTATGCAGCCGAATCTGTGCTGGTTTGTATTGGCCGCCTCCAGTTTTCACTTTGTTTTGCCTCCAGTTAGCGCCGTGACGTAACTGTGACGTCGGCGCAAAAGGGGTCTATACAGTGCCGAAGTTATCACGTCACTTTGTAGGCCAAAACGCGCTAGTGAGTTAGCATTTTTAGCACTCCCGGTTCCCTCGCTCTAAAGTCTATGGGATTTTTGAATGGGTTTTTGCTAGATCACCTGAAATAAGGTCTGTGGTGAACAAATCCTCTAGATATTTTCACGTTTTGATCTATGACTTAAAACACACCAGTTATAACCTGCTTGTGTGTTTTTAAACTTTATTGTGTCTGCTTGTGTTTTTTTTTACTTTATATAGGCTTCAAAATGTATAAATTTTGGATTAACTTGAAAAGATTATCTTGATAGACAAAAAGTGTAAAGGTCACAACTCTTTGTTGAACACAGATCTTATTTTTAATAACGGGGAAATGCATCGCTTTTCGATCGAGGGAACCGATGCGCCGCTAGCTTCCGTGTTGTCCTACAAAGTGACATCATCACTTCGGCACTCAATTACAGAGCAATTTTACGTCACTGTAACAGTGTATAACACAAGATATTACTTCTTTTTTTTTTTGGAAAGTCAACAAAAATGTATTGTGTTATATAAAAATGTAAAAACATAAAAATTATGTCTTATATAATTACGTATATTAGTGATGTATATTATCTTATATAATTACGTATTTTTGATGTATATTATCTTATATAATTACGTATATGTCTTATATAATTACACATATTTTAGGACAATCCAGTCAATTTAGTGAATTTAGAAAGTATTTTAGATGAGGTACTTCATCTCACCTACTTATTTTATTTAAAATTGTATATTCATCTACCAAAATCATTTTATCTAAATAATAATAATAATTACAATTTTTTATTATTTCTTGTTGAATTTTTTTTTTTTTTGTAGTAATTATCTTAATATTCCAAAAAAAGTATTTCTTATTTTATTTTTTTCTTAGTTATTTTAATTTTATTTTTATTCCTAATAATATTATCAAAAGTCCCAAACAAAAGTGCAAAAACTGCTCCACATTATAAAACTGTAAAACTTGTATTATGCAAATGTTTTTCACATTACTTGTGTTTCCACCAATATATCTTTATCACCTGGTATAAATGTTACAGCAAAACACTTTTCTATCGCCATACGTCTATACCGCCGTCACGCCGCCCACCCTGGTCTGAGACCCTTCATTACTCGGATCCATAAAGTTTCAGGAAGTCCCGCATCTTTTCCGAGTGTTAAATTGGTGCTGTATGTGACAGCCCACACTCCGTGATTCACCGACTGCGGGACGCAGGGGAATAAAAATCTTGAGAGGACCTCAATCCCCAAAGCAGCGGCCAATAAAATCACGTCCCCTTCCCTCACCTGGCCTTTAATGCAGTCGTACATTACATTTCGCACCTCATTACTGGGTTGCCAGCCCCTCCCAAACACTGCAGATCCCACACAAGCGTGTCCGATCGATTCACAGCCACCGCTGCTCGTTTAGCTCATTTAAAAATAGTGCTGTGGGTCAGATCTGCTGTGAGGGTTAATGAACTGCACAGGGATGTAAATGGGCAGATGATTTTGAGGGATGACATCATCCAGTGTGTTATTGACGGCGTTGAGGAGGCTGGTTTTACACAGTAAATTATGGGGAGCTCGTAAAAGTATCTAAACTACAGTGAAGCTTTTGTATTAAACGATATTTGAAGTGTATATATATATGAAGAGTTCAGATGCAAAAGCCTCTAAGTGCCATTTGAAATTTTCTTCTAGAATGATCATTTTTATCAAGCTTGTATATTTAAGTTCAGTGATTTCACTTAAATGGCAATGATAATTACCTATTAATTGTTTTTTTAAGTGAAATTACTGAACTTAAATACACAAGTTTGATAAAAAATCATCATTATAGAAAGAACATTTCAAATGGCATTTAGAGGCTTTTGCATCTGAACTCTTCATATATATATATATATATATATATATAGTGCAAATCTCTTTAGTGAAATAGAGTATTTAACAAAATTATTCTGTTACAGTGACATACAAGTGAAAATTATGTCATAACTTGATGAATCTGGCTTTAATTGGGTTCATTGAAACTGACCATCTGAACGAATCGATTCGCTGAAATGAATCATACTTTGCAGAGAGGACATTCTAGGAGTGTTTGGCTTTTGCCTCAGCTCACTCATGTGACATTGTGACATAAAAACTGCTGATGTCGTGTTTTGTCAGGTTACGACATACTAGGAAAGCGACGATATTTTAAAAACATGAAGAAAAAAGCACTAGTTTATGCGATTTCTCTTCCCAGAAATCTTTTTGTTACAGTGTCGGCGTGATTGTATACCATTTGCATTTGTGTGTGTGTGTGTTCAGACACAGCAATCTGCTTGGGCTAAAGTGCTACAATCCATTAAAATCCACTATAGTCTGATTCACGAAGAACATCAGAGCTGACACTGTGTAGCCCTGGAAAATAAGAACACACTTCCAAATGGCTGTCGTTTTACAAACACAACCACCCGCACACACACACACACACACACCAGTACAGTAAACACACTGCAGTGCCAACACACGGAATGCCAGTTCAACAGATGGCACACACTCCCAGGTGGGATTGAAATCCCCACAGAGTTTCCTTCCTGTCTGGTGTTGCATGGACCGTGTTTAGGGAACGGCAGCGGTCAGCATGGCTCCTCTTCACCTCCTCTTCCTGCAAAAAAAAGATCACGCAGCGCTGATTTTGAGCGCTCGGTGTGTGTCCTGGTGCTGGGAGCCATGGTAACAGAGTGGTCTGGCAACTGCTGTGTGTTTTTTGAGATGCTTTAATGTGTGTAGGAGTGGGAGAACTAGCTGCTTTAATTTTGGAAATGGCTATATTTATATTCATGTTTTGTTTTAAACATAACATTTATCTCTTTAAGGGTGGGGTGTGCAATGATATTATTTATGCTGTATGTTCAACATGTTTGCTGCCTGTCTCCAGCGTGGTGCCTGAGAAATGAAGGCGTAAGCTCTGTGCTCCTCGGAGCCTCCAACACGGACCAGCTCATGGAGAATATAGGAGCAATACAGGTGAGAATGCAAATGAGTGTCAATCAAATGCTAAGCTCCGCCTCAAACCCGTTATTGACCAATCTTAGTTTACTGCAACTTGCAGCCGTATGGACTTTTCATATTTCCAGGCTTCCCCGAAGCAAAAGTCATTCAAGTTGGCCATTCCTGCAGCACTCTATTATTATACTGTATATATATTTAGTTATTTTCAACTGTAAGTGAATGCAATCGCTTATAGTTCCTTGATAGCCTACATTTAAAGCAAGGTTATTATAGTTTTGCATTTTTCAGTAGTTTTTATTTTGTTTTGAAGTTTTGTTTTTAAATTCAGTTTTTAAAATGGGTTTGCAAGTTCTATTTTTTTATAGTGTTTTAGTGTTAGTTTTAGTCTTTTTTTTTTTGTAGTTTGGGTTATTTGTCAGGGGCAAGATTCAAAAAACTCAATAAAAACATCATACAATTTTTAGAAATATCTATTCAATATCTATAAAACCAGTACATAGCCTACAATGTGACATTCCTTTACCTTACAAAATCCACACGCCGTACCAAACATCTACACATCTTCTATATAAATTCACACCCAGTACAAAACAATTTCCACACCCTATACTAAATCTACCATAGACAACACTCACCTGACCTGAAGAAGCAAACATTTAGTCTAAAATAATGACATGACATTATATAATATGTGAATCACAGCTTATAGTGTTTTGACATTGACAACCCATTTTACCTCAAATTTGCGACTAGTTAACTTTCTAAAGAAGGAGCAATCGCTTATTTCCAGGGTTCCCAGAAGCAAAAGTCATTAAAGTTGGGCATTCCTGCAGCACTCTATTATTATACTGTATATATTTAGTTATTTTCGACTGTAAGTGAATGCAATCGCTTATAGTTCCTTGATAGCCTACATTTACCTTTCGATTGTGTTTAAACCAAGGTTATTGTAGTTTTGCATTTTTCATTATTTTTTGTTTTGTTTTGAATTTTTGTTTTTAAATTCAGTTTAGTTTTAATTCGTTTTTAAAATTGGTTTGCAAGTTTAGTTTAGTTTCTATTTTTTGAAAATGCTTACTTTTAGTTTAGTTTTTATTAGTTTTTTCTTTTTTTTTTTTTTGTAGTTTGGGTTATTTGTCAGGGGCAAGATTTAAAGGTCAGAAAAAAAAATTATGTAATAATAACTCAACGAAAAGATCATACAATTTTAGAAATATCTATTCAATATCTACAAAACCAGTACATAAAATGTAGCCTACAATGTGAAATTCCTTTACCTTACAAAATCCACACGCCTGTAATTTGCTCTTTAATTGTATTTTATTTTAGTTAGTTTTGCAAACACACATTACAGTTTTTTTCGTTCGTTTTTATTAACGATTATAACCTTGGTTTAAACTTGAGCATTTAAAAAAAAATTATTCATAAAACAAGTCTCATAAAACATTGGAAAATCACAGGGTACCTATATTTTGATAATTCTTGCTCAAACGTTTGAGTTAATGGCTATCAAATGAGACTTTTGTCTCTTCAGTTGGCTGTGAGAGGCATTTGCATCCATTCTGAATCAAACTGCCATGCCCATTTTAACCATGTTACTGTGCAATTTAACAATATAACAGCATACTTTGCAATGTCATAAGAATAATCCGTTCGATTTTAATCGCTTTATGAGCCCATTTTACAGCATATCATGCTGCACACAGGAATCTCCGGTTCATTCCTTTGGGACGATCTGTAAAACTCATCCGAGCGAGCGAGCGAGCGTAATCTGGGTGGGCGGAGCTTAGCAAAGGCTGAGTTCCTGGTTGTGAAATGTTATTTCTGTAAATTCATATAATCAGGGTTTTCACATTCATGGAAAACCTGAAGATATCGAACATAAATATTTTGAAGAGGACATTTGAAAGAAGGCATTAGTTAGTGATTGCGGACGTAAAATGTTTAATCGGCTCGAAATTGGTCTTCATTTTTAAAAATGCTAATCTTGCTTTCATGAGGAGCAAGAAAGTCATGCAAATTCATTGGTCAAAATGTGTGGAAACCCTGATTAGAAATCATTAAAAGTTTAAGTATTCACCTTTATATAGTATATACATATATATTAGTGCTTTTAAAGTGATTAATTGGGATTAATTATAGGGCTGAATCGCGATTAAACAAAATAAAAGTTTGTGTTTACATAATATATGTGTGTGCACTGTGTATAATTATTTTATATATATAAATACACACGCATGTATATATTTAAGAGATATTTTCATGTATATACTATAGATTTATATATATTATATTATATATAAATATAAATTATTATATATTTTTCTTAAATTCACATGCATGTGTGTGTTTATATATATATATATAAGATAATTATACACAGTGCCCCCACATGTATTATGTAAACACAGACTTTTATTTTGGATGCGATTAATCGTTTGACAGCCCTAATTAATTGCATCTAACATAAACATGTATGTTTATATAATGTTTGTGTGTGTGTATATATTTTATTTACATGTATGTGTGTGTTTGTGTGTGTATATAGTGGTAAAGGGTTAATAATGTTTTGACCTCACACTTTATATATAAATGGAAACCAGACTAAGTTTGCAGCTCTTTTCGCAGGTTCTTCCAAAGCTATCCTCCTCCATCGTGCACGAGGTGGACAGTATCCTGGGAAACAAACCCTACAGTAAAAAGGACTACCGCTCCTAGTGTGGAACCAGACGGGACCGGATGCTCCGCACTCACCTTTGCCTGATCCTCCGTTAGCTTCAGCTTTTACTGAATGAGTACCGGCCGCATGAGACAGGCAAGCACCCACAAACCCTGGAGAGCAAGACTTTTAGAACACAAAGGGCAAGAAACACGTGAAAAATACACAAAACAAACACATTCAAATGCAGCATAGAGAGCGATGCATCGAAGATACGTGCTGACGGATCAAGGTACTTTAAAATGAGATCACTAGGGTAATTAAGAACAAAAAATATGCTTAAACATTTAAAAAAAAAAAAAAAATAACATGCTTGCTTGGTTGCTGGAAATATAACATTTTTGTTTGTTTTTTAATATTGAATGCATAATAACAAAAATGGAGCTCAAGCTGAAATAGGTAATCAGTTGCACATGATCCATAGCCACTCATGTGATCCATCGGGGTTTGCTCGCCTCGTTCACATCATCGAGGCGTCTCGGCCCAGAACTCGTCACTGTGTCGTCTGCGTTACGTATGCACACGCCCCCTCCGCAGGCAAACCAATAAGCACTTTAAGGGAACATCAGAGGGAGTGGCTTTGTGTGAACTGATTGAAGCGCAGCTCCTCTAGTGTGCAATCGGTGGCTTTTGCTTATTCTGCACAGGGCATTGCATCGTCTCGGTGTCCGCTCTTCTCTGTTTAGCCTCAAGAGGCGGCCCTGGCTTCTCGTGTGTCGTTTCTTTGCTAACAGTTCTGCGAGTCGAATCACTCCATCAGATGTTGTGCTTCTGGAGGTCTGTCTGGTTGTTGAAGAACGTCTTCCTTCCACAGTAACCTGCTCCTAGCACACATACACCTTTAGTGGACTTACTCTCACTGATTTAGTCGATTTTAAGTGTAGATTGAATGATCTGAGGTATAAGCATGCTTCAAAAATATTTAATGCGAGTACTAGTTGTCAGTCTGAAGAGTGAATGTTAGGTCATATTTCACCTCCGAATCAAAATCAAAATGAAATTATATAAACCATTACAAAAAGCTTTCTTTGTGACATTATTTACATGACAATTAAGCACATTTCCTTCCCAAATGATCATATATATATACAGAAAGTATGTTTAAGTTTAATTGTAGGTTGTTTAAGTTTAAGCAGATATGCTAGTGTTTATTGTACCGATTTTAATGTAAAAAAAGAAAAGAAAAAAAAAATATATATATATATATTAGGGCTGTGCAAAAGTTAATTGTGTGTTTACATAATATATTTGTGTGTGCTGTATATAATTATTTTGTATATATAAATACCTATGCATGCATGTATATATTTATGAATTATTTGCGCTTAAATTCTGTATATATTTATAAATACATAATCTATATTATATAAATATAAATATGTTATATATGAATAACACATTTTCTTAAATATATACATGTATGTGTGTGTATTTATATATACAACATAATTATATACAGCACACACAAATATATTATGTAAACACAGACTTTTATTTTGGATGCGATTAATCGCAATTAATTTTTGCACAGCCCTAATATATATATTTATTTACATATATTTTTCTTTATTACTAATTTTTTACATTAAAATCGGTACACATATACATACATACAGTTCATATGCATAATAATATACAATATGAAAATGTGAGTAGCCCTCAATCAGGTCATGGGGTCTATACGACCCCAATCGACTTTTACTTAATAAAAAATCTCAGTGGAATAAGATTTTGTTACTTTTCATACATTATCTATCTATACACGCACAAAAACTGGGCTTGATTCGGTTGTTCTGAAGGTATGTAAATAAAATGTTTACACTTCTGGTATTTGGGGTCAATATGACCCCACATTGAAATGAATGGGAAATGTGAAATGTGAAAAAAAAAAAAAATCCAGCATGAATCTGAAAATGTTGACACAGTAATGAAGGCGTAGTACTAGAGCCTAAATTCAATGTATCATAAAAAAATAATATTTCATATGCAAGCTAATGGTGTAGTTGAGGAATCGTGTGGTATATGGATACAAAAGTACTTTATATCTCCAAAAACACAGCATTAATGAATAGATGAGAAGTAAACTAAAAAAATTGTATATTATTTGTATGAATAAAAATGAATATTTTTTGTACCATTACTCAATCAATTGTTGGGGTCGTATAGACCCAGAAGTGTAAACTGGAACTGTCATGTAAATAATGTCACAAAATAATACAAAGTCCCAAAAATATAATTGATTTTATGGTGAAATATCTGGAAATTTGTGTAAGGCAAATTTTGTGATGATTAAAACGAGTAGAAACATGGGGTGGTGGAAGCCTAACGGACTGTTAACACAAAAGTTGGAAGGTCGATCCTAAATAAAGTTAACACACTTCTGCTTTACCACCCCTGTGATTGGACATATATAATTAGCACCAAAAAAATCTATAATTAAAAATCAGTTTCATAATGTTCCCTGCAGTTTAGCTACAGTCACCTGTTCACCAGCACAGTGATAGGGCAGGTGTTTTTAGCCAATAGAAAAGCAGACTGTTTAAACGGCATTATGTCGGCTGCCCAATAGGAGCTCAGGGACTGCAGTTGAATGTCTATGTGTGTGTGTGTGTGTGTGAGCTACATCGTCTAACATCGTTAAGAAGCAGAAGTTGCTGTTTCTTCATCTCATTTCTGGACGCTGGGCATTTCTCGTATATGTTCTGGTGATGATACATGTGGCTGAAGCCAAAGATCCCGTCAGTAACGTGACCCCCGTGTCCTCTTTCGGACGCAGAGATGATCGGTCATCTAGCAGCATGCATCTGCGCATCTTTCTTCACTTTGTATTCACTCTTAGCAGCGCTCTATAAGTATAAGTACATATATACATACTTGGTGCAAGTATACATAGTGCACCCAGTGTGAGTAAGCAGTCTTTAGATCTTTTGTAAATGGAGGCTGGTCACCAAACATTGATCAATAAGGTATTAGTGAATTGGAGCAGTGTCCCTGATCAAGCACAAGGGAAATGCATGAGGTTCATTTGGAAAGCATGCTGTGTCCCGGATCAGTGCTCACTAGTGCTATTATCGTATCATCACAGATAATATTGGCGAGGCGGAAATTACGTGATCATTTTGAAAAGATGAGCTTGCCGTTCTTCATGATAGTGATTTAAACTACTTTACAGACAACAAAACTTGGACGCTGTGTGCTTATGGGAATTATTCATGACTTAGATCAGCTTTAAAAACAGTTGAATGTTGACGTCGGCGTCCGTCCATCTTCTCATCTGTGCCACGCACATTTACTGTGATGAGAACAGTGCATTTGCACTTTATTCTTTAGGCACTTATTAATTGGAGTTGATTTACAGTTATAGTGTTAATGTCTTCCGTTTACCCCTTTAAAGGAATGTTTCAGAAGTTCAGCTGATGCGATGATCTTTTCAAACAAACAAATCTTCTGTTTACAGTATTGTGCTTAAAATGGATCTGCATCTGGTCATTGTTTTGTTCAAATAATTTGAGTTTATTGGAGCAGATTGACGTGTGATACTGAAGGTGGATATTTTCTTCTGGTTTTCTTGGTGCATATTGTGTAAAATTTACAGGGTTTACTTTATTTGAATTACAATAATGATGAGAATTTAGAAAATGTAAATGTAAGGAAGAAAATGTGCTTAATTTTCATGGGGATAGTTTTAATAAAATATAATAGATTTTAGGGTCAAATATTATCTGGATTTCTTTTTTTTTTCAGTCAGATAGGCAAATAAATTAATTGATAAATTAGTTTTTTTTTAAGAATGGAGTGGTGGTAGCCTAATGGTTATAAATAATGTGCACAGATTCGCAGTTTCGTCACACTAGTATCAATATCTTCACAATCAGTGTATTTTAATATTGTCTAATATATTTCGAATGAGAATTTGGTGAGAAAATATGATTCATTGTCACGCAATAAATCATCCTAAAATAGGCATCTTTTTTTTCCCTTTTCTTTTTTTGTAGAATATAATTAGTCCAATTAAGTCAAATAAATAAAATAAATGATTTTATGATTATTAAAAAGGTAGAAAAATATAATAGCCAAATGGTTATAACTGTGTGACAGACATGTTAAGTCATTTTGGCAACACTTTATTTTACAGTGTCCTTGTTAAGTAAATTATTTAATATAATTAAAGAACATGCAACTATCCCTCAACCAAACCCTACAGTAAGTAAATGTTAATTGATATTACTCGGTACTTAAATATACTGTATAATTACACTGTGACACCTTGAAATGAAGTCATTTATTTTTAGCTAATAATGTATAACGTTGAAGTCACTAACAGTGTTTTATGAACATAAATGTTCATAAACGTTCATTGCAAGCTCATTACTGTCAACGTCACATTTCCAAAGTGAGAAACCAGTGGAAATATACTGATCCGTTCACTGAACCTGGAACATTCCTCTAGATTTCATTGTGTATTGTCGGCTAAATGTTAGTACACTGAAATATCATCGAAATGGAATGACATCACCTAAAGTGTGTGTGAGAGAACTAATCTAACGAGCAGTAGATTTGTGAATAAAGGCAGTTGGTTGTTAGTGTTAGTTGAGTGTGTTAGAATGGACTCGTCATGTTCAGTTTTGTGTTTTCTGTTGGTCAGTGTGGTCCATGTCAGCCTGTGTTGTTCCTCAGAGAACTTTAACACACACTTGTGCCGTCCGGGCGTAAAAATCATTGACAGAATTGTTTCAATGCCTCCAAGTAGTTTGTAAAACTGGCAGAATTTTTAGTAGTGACATTTTTAAGTTGTTTAGGAGTGGTTGGAAAAGCAGGGAAAGTGTAATCGCTATTAAATCTGTAATAATCAGTCCAGCCATATAGATGAACTCATATACAATCCATATTTTACAGGTCAGAGGTTATGGATATGCGTGTGGACGTTTTTTTTTTGTTGTTGTTTTTAATACCATACACAAGGTTCCGTTCCCAAGGAAATTATTTTTCATGTTTAATATTTTGCAAGGATAAAGACAAAAATATGATTTTATTTTTTTACCATTCTTTGTTGCCCTTTGGTGTTACTGACCTGAAGATGATGACATTGATGATGATGATGATGACGACAAAGAATACAAAGAGCAATTATTTGCACTGAATATGCATTTTGGAGAATTCTGTGAAATGTATACAATGGCAAGCTACATATCCACGCTTTGTGGAGAAATACTGTATGTCGAGTCAGATATCTGTATATAGTTTGACCTTTGTACATATATATATATATATAAATATATACATGAGAGTATTCATGGTCCTGATCACTCCAGCCTTTGGTTCTTTATTTTCATCGAAAGGCATTTGCTGACTGCATTGTGCTTGAGTCTGAATTTAGACATGTACAGCGCCAGTATCTATGAAATGACAACTATAAAATGATGACAATGAAAAACAACCTGTGTGTGTATTTGTCTTCTTGGTGTGGAAGAATTACGTTAATGGAGGCTTCGGGTTAAATAAGGAAATATTAATGGCAACATTTAACAATTTACAAAACTGAGGCCAGAGTCACAAAAATCTTCTTGAGTCGAAGAGTTCTCAACTCTTTACGGAAGAGGATTTAGGGCCAAGCAATAATACAGAAAATACAACCCTCTCAACTGTATTCTCGAAATTTAATGAGTTTATTCTCAAGATTGTATTTCGACTTTTTTCTCGAACAAGTTTCTTCTCGAAACACGACTTTATTCTCAAAATTAAATTCTCGAAACAACTTTATTCTCAAAATTTTAGTTTATTCTCAAGATTGTATTTCTTGAAACACAACGACTTTATT